GTGTGTGTGTGTGTGTGTGTGTGTGTGTGTGTGTGTGTGTGTGTGTGTGTGTGTGTAAGAGAGAAGGAGGGAGGGAGGGAGAAAGGGAATGTGTCTTCATCCCTATTTTTATCCTGCCAGCAAGGAGAGCAGATCAGTGACTGCAAAGGTGGAACATTTCAACTTGCAGACAAGATTGAAATATTTTTAAAATATTGTCCATGGCCATTTGCCAGTTTTTCCTGGGAAGAAGAGAAAGCTGAAAATTAAACTGAAATCTCTTGGCTGAAACTATTGCTTGAAGGTTTCCTGTGGAAATGATAGAAATCGGCGTGCATAAATTAATACAAATATGCATGTTCTGTGTGAGAGGATTATACTTGTACGGTACTTCAGATCTTTCCAATGTATCTGATATAATACCATTAATCAACATGCTCACTAGCCTCAAGCTTTACATGGAAACAAAAGTTTGGTATTAATTGCTATATCTCTGGTGGAATCATCAACTAAAGGAGAGGAAGGAATAAAAAGGAGTCCCAGCACAGTGCTGCTTCATGGGAGGAAATGGCAGAGGCAAGACTATTAAAGCTTTTATCTATAGGTTCTTGAGAGAATGCAGTCAATCTGGTGAGATTCTTATAAATAGGCTTTATATGTATCGACAACAAAGGTTCTTTACCAACAATAAAGAAACTGCTTTGGTCTATTCATGGAGTTATTCTGGTTGCTTGCACCTGACATTATCCCACTTCCTGTTATATAATGTCTTCTCTACATTATAGGTGGGTTTCTTCAAACGTGTGCGGCCACCTCAGGAAGAACAAGAAAGAGAACAGCTGCAACCTCATGAAAATGGAGAAGGGACCTCAGAAGCTTAAGCAGTATTTTCACTGTGCCTTTTACCAAAACATTTAGAATGATTGACAACTTCTTTTAGAAATATGCATTTTGATCCTTGAGGACTGCATAGCAAATGCCTTTTTTGCTATTGGCAAAATTAACTGGGAACTGAAAGTGACATGTTTGTTTCCCTCATATTAATCACGTTCACATTTGTGACTAATACAGGTGCACTGACTAATGTATTTTAGTGTCACAATTTTGCTTACTATGTCCAAAAGGCAAAGTGAAGAGATAGGGGGTTGTTTTGTTTTTATTTTATTTTTTATTGGTACAACTTGAGCTCCTCCACTACTCGCAAACTTGTAACAACTACATCTATCTAGAGAACATGAACATAAACTGAAGCCCTGCTCTTGAACTTCTTAACTGGACTTTCCCAAGGTACTCACCAGTTTCTGAAGATTTTTTTCACCTTTTCTAAGCTGGAGATATGAACAGCACGAAACATTAAGTGAAATACTGACAGATCTACTTCAATTGACTATTTAGGGATAACTTCTGTAAAGAAGAGGAGCTCACTGTCGCCATGATGTGGTTAAGGACTTGCTGTCCATTTTATGGAAACTTTCATCTGGAAAGATGTACTTTGGTTGTATGGAAGATCATAGATCCCATTTACCAGATCCCATATATCCAGTTTTATGTAGCATCATGAAATTGATTCATGCAATCATTTTCTGATACCCTTTTTAATTTTCTGTGTTTTTTTTACATTAAAAAAAAATCAAAATCTGCCAAGTAGTCCAAATTCTACATTTAGGATAAGTAATTCTAAGATGTTCCTGTATTATTTAATTCTGTTTTGAAGCCCCAGGTTTACAAATAATTTGGAATCATTTCTGGTTAAAAGATGATTTTGAAAGACTTCAGGTATTATAAAACAATAAAACCCATACCATAGTGATTTCAGTAAGCTGTCTGCTATTCCTTCAGGGCAGTGGTTCCCAAAGTGGGCAGTACCTCCCTCCTGGGGGGCGGTGGGATGCCTTAGGGGGCTCTAAGAGGCAAGGGGCCAGCAGGGGGGCACTAAGAGGTGCCAGGGGGGCGCTGGAGGTGGGCCCCTCGCAATTCAGGGGTGGGATTCTACCGGTTCATTACCATTCCGGTAATTGGAGAACTGGTAAAACGAGCTCCTGCCTGACCCTGCTCCTCTCCTCCCACTCTTCTGTTCCCTGGCTAGTCAGTCCCATACGCGACATCACATGCATACACAACAATCGCTGACGGCCACAGCGGAGCGTTGGAAAAGCAGAGCAAGCAAAGTCGAAGGTCGGTAATTTTTGCTCCAAAAAGCATCCAGACGCCGTGTGTTTTTTCGGTGCGGCTGGAGGTTTTTTGCAGGCACGGGATCAGCGCTGCAGGCGGGATTCACCGTTCCCATCCCGGAAGCTCTGCCTGCACCGAGCCGCAACAGGTCCCCACCTGGTCCGGGTCAAGCTGGCTGCAAGGAAGTCTCCCAGCAGCTGACGGGATAGACCCACAGTGGGGCAGTTCTCCCGGTTAGGTCCGCCACTGCCTCTGAGCCACCCAGAAAGCTCAACAAGTGACACCCAGAGCCACGGAAAGAGAGAGATGGAAAACCGGACTTCTTCCCCGATGCCACCCAGAGCCCTCTGGCAGCGGCCAGAGACAAAGCCTCCCCCGCAGGCGGGCGAAGGGGGTTGTCTCAGGGGGTGGTGGTGGGGTGCAAGGAAGGCAAGACATATGCGCGCCCCTCATTATGCCAAGATTTCCAGCAAAAAGGCAGCCAGGTTTTGAAAAGCAAAGGAAAACCTCTGGCTTTCACGCTAAATCATGGTTAGCTGAAGCACAGCATAAGTTAACCTAATTATTTGGGTTAGATAACCTATTAACCATCCTGATGGTTTAGGTTTGCATCGTAAAATTACACCAAATTTTAAGTCATTAGCCACACCTTCAGCACCTCCAGTTTACACCAGGCTAGATTTCAAGATGCATGGTAGAGTGGCATTGAGAGCTGGGCAGCATTCAAAGTTCATAAATTATTATCGATCATAGAAAGAAAAGGGTATATAAGGAATATCTTCTAAGGATGATGATGTTTGTACTGTACTGTATAGTATTTTCACGTACTCCTTCCATCTTCGTTTGATCTCCTTTGAACTGGTTACGATCTGTCCTTTACTACCCAATTTGTGGCTGTGACCTCCTGAGTTCAGATAACTTTTGGATAACTTTCCTTGGTTTTCCATGTCTGTTTCTTCAGTATCTCTACAGATATTGTTCTAATACTGCTTGTCTCTGCTCTCTGAAATTCTGTGGTCTTTGTCCTTAATGTTGACTTAGAAACTGGGAAACCATGAATTGCTCAAATCAGGGGTTAAAGCTGCTTGGGTTACTCTCTCTTAGGCCAACCTACCTAACAAGATTGTTGTGGGGAAGAAAGGAGAGAGAACACAGCTTTCCGTAATAGACAATTAAGGTGTGCTATAAATATAGGAAATAAAATTGATTTCATTCCACAGTGTTTCTGGTTTTCTATCAATGAGGTTCAGCAATTGAACCAGTGTACATACCCTTTCCTATTTGCTACAGCAAATAATATCACAGATAGTCCTCAATTTACAGCCACAATTGCTCCCAGAATTCTGTTGCTAAACAAGATGATTAAACAAGTCATGCCTAATTTATGCAGTCCAGCTGCACCAAAAAAAACATGGCTGCTGCAGGCATTCGTGACAAGGATGACATGGGCTGGTGGGAAGCCCAGCAACAACAATGGCTCAGCCCTGAATTGCCTTCCCTGGCAACCAGCCGGGAGGAAGGTAAAGTCATGGCCATGGGATGACGAAAGAGGCGGTCGTGGGTGAGGAAACAGGGAGATTAAGGGCCGGGACCTCTGAAAGGGGAAATGGGGTGATGCAGGATTAGCCCAGGCCTGCCTGGGCAGAAAATAGGTAGATAGGTTAAGGAAGGGATAGAGAGAGAGGGAAAGAGAGAGGGAACGAGAGAGAGAGAGACCTGATGCATCAGATTGAAATGAGGCCTAGTTTAGAGGCCCTTTTCCACATTGAAACATCTTTGCCAGCATCTTTGCCAGCACATTGAAACATCTTTGGCTTCCAATTAAAGGTTTTGTGGACAAAACATGGTCATGACTATCAGGAAGCTCTCACATTTTGTTGAGGCTTTAAACTGGATCCATTGGACCAGACCTCCACCCTAAAAAATTACTTTTCCCTAATGTATTACAGTGCCAATTTTGATGAAGGCAAACCCAAAATGTACTGGTAAATTACAAGGAGAACACACACACACACTCCTTTCTAACCCTGATGGAGCAGGTGACTGGACTAGAATAGATATTATCTTTCTCCTCTCTCCCACCCTCCTTTATTTCTTTTCCTTCCATCCCCCCTTCTTTTTTTGTCTGTCCCGTTTTCTTTCTGTCCCTTTTCTCTTTTTTTCCTTCCTTCTCTCTTTCTCTCTTTTCTCTCTCTTTCTTTTCTCTCTTTCCCTCTCTCAGGCTCACCCCATTGACTTGGTGCACTGCTCCGCTCAAACTTGCTTGGGCAAGTCCCTCCAGTGAAGCGGGCTCAATGGGGTGGACCTGTGGGCCGGCACCTAGAACGCGACAGTGGCGGAGCGTTTAAAAAGTAGAGCAAAGCCAGAGGTCGGTAATTTTTACTGCAAAGAATCACAAAAGTTTCTGGGCTGTGTACAAGAAGGGGGACACGTGTCAGTGCAATTCAGCAACATAAAATAAAGAAATACAAATAAAACAAATCAACAAGAATCAGCAAAGCATCTCTGATTATATTCTATTCACTACTAGAATTTAATCAGAGATGCTTTGCCAATTCTAGTCCAATGACCTGGTCCAGCAGAGTTAGAAGGGAGTGTGTGTGTGCGTGTGTGTGCATGGCTGTCAAAACTCCAAAAACAGGTCAAGTAGCTCTGGGGAGGCTAGTCGTAAATTAGAACACTTGCTAAGCAACCGGCCATTGAGTGAGGACCACTTGTATTTGGTTTGCCGATCACCTGGCTACAACTAAGTCACGTGACCACCAAACCACGCCTACCCGGCCATGTGACCACCAAACCATGCCCAGGCAGTCACGTGATCAGCAAGCCACGCCCACCCAGTCATGTGATCAACAAGCCACGCCCTCAAATTAGGTCACACCCACAGAAATTTGAATCCCACTCCTGGGTGGGGGGCACCAAGCATGAGTTTGTAGCACTAAGGGGGCGGTGGAGTGAAAAAGTTTGGGAACCACTGCTGTAGAGACGCACATTACAGATTTCAACTCTACTTTTCACATAGAAATTTTTAAAATTCCTTTAAACGTATTGTTTTAATAATAATTTTAAAGGAACATCATCCTCATCTCAGAAAGTAACATCATAATCGTTTCTGGGTCCTATGTTCGTAGTTATTATAAAGTAAATTATAGATGGTCAACTTGAGACCTCCAGCTTACAACTGATCTTTAAACCACCTTTTCCAAACCTCTTTGAAAAACGATTGCTGAATATTAACAGTAGTTTCCTACCATTCTGGGATGGAAAGCCCATAGAAACTCTAGTTTAAGCCTTTACAAAGGGCTATCATGGTTAAAAAAATACCCCCAACGTTCTCTCAAGATCTACCCCATTTACATGCGAGAGAAGACCCCAATTGTTGTGTAGTCGTTGGGATGACACACGAGGCAGACACGGAGCTGAAGGCTAACACAATTTATTTAAACATAGCAGGTTGACGAGGCTGCCCTGGCTGGGCAGGCAGCCGAGAGCTGCCCTGGCTGGGCAGGCAGTCCGGGAGCGATGGCTGCCTCGGCTGGGCTGGCAGTCTGGGTGACGTTAGCTGCCTCGGCTCGGCAGGCAGTCCGGAAGGTCTGTAGCTGCCCCGGCTGGGCGGGCAGTCCAGAGGGCGATAGCTGCCTTGGCTGGGCGGACAGCCCAGATGGTGAGAACTGCCCCGCCGGGCGGGCAGCCCGGGGGGCGAGAGCTCTTGCGAGCGCTGCCCCGTTGGTCCGCGCTCCGCCCGCTTCGCTCCGCTCGGCTGGCTCTGCCCGACAGCCGGCTTTTATAGCCGACTGTCAAACGGAGCCAGCCAATGGGAACGGCTGGAGTTCCCGCTCAAACAGCGGACCTGGTTGGGAAACCCCAACCAGTTCAAAAGACATAACGGAAACTGTCAGGGACACAACACCAATGATCTGTGGCCTTCAGCTCCCCTAACTCAAATGTTAAATGCAAACTTTAGCAACAAAAGTTCTTGTATTCCCAAACTAAATACACTCCCATCTATAAACCTAACAATAAATGTTAGGCTAGTTATTGTTTTAGTGGTCAAGCAGTATTGATGCTGAGGAACAACGTGGTTTTTAATGGAGCGCACCTAGCCTTCCCCCAATGTTGTGCCCAGATGTTATGCCCAATGTTATATCCATTCCAGTTTTTGCACTTGATTTGCTACATTCCCGCCAACAATATTGGAGTGTAGCATCAAACAAAATTGCTTGAATTTCAAGGTACAATTGTAAAAAAGAGCTCTGTAACTGAAAGCTTGGGAATACTGGATTGTTCTTAATTTGTTCTTAATAAAGTACAAAAAACATGCTGCTGATTGGGAACCACCCAAACTTGATTATAAGAGGGAGGCTATATAAATATTATCAATAAATAAACATGCTGATGTTGGACAAAAAAACACCTCAACCCAGTCATCTATCATTAGCCAGAACTGCACTAAAATGACAAACTATGT